GGTATAAAGACAAGAAAATAAGGAGAGAAAGATTTAGAAAAATTACACTAGGCTACTCTAAATTTAAAACTGCATCCGCAGCGGCTCCATCTGTGGGGGAGTTGAGGGGGTAGCGGCTACTTCCAGCAGCTTGCTCTGTGCAGCGACGGCAACGCGTGGCGGCTGAGCAGAGGCTACGGCCGGTGCAGGTTATGTACCCTCGCCTGTAAAATTCGGTCGTTGCCAATCGGGGTGAAAATAGAAGTGGCCCACACCAAGGTAACGCGGCCTGGTAATAGATAGCGACTTGACCTGGTGTGGGTGTATAGACTGATGCGGGATGAGCTGGCAATCGCGGCCAAGGCACTAAGGCGAAAAAAAAAAACGAAACTCGATGAGCCTACTACAACTCCTGCTTTTCCCTACAGGGCTTTAAACATACCGTTCTTACCGGCTTTCAAACCGGGGAGGATCGTTGGTCGGTGTGTGAGGCGGGGCGGTAGGCGTGGCAGCACCGTGGCAGCAGCGTGGCGGCCGCAAAGCCAAGGGAGTTTTCTCCGAACTCTCGGTACTTTTTTCTTGTTTGTAAGCTTCACTAACAGCACAACACAGCACAGAATTTAATTTTGGGAAGACTTTTCGCGTTTACTCCGGACAGTTATGTAACTGTACTTTTTCGGACACGTGGCCAAAATTATAGCAGCGTTTTTTCCGAACGTTTTGAACTCGCGCACAGATCCAAGGCTTCGAATTTTCAAAAGAGCACGACCTGGCCTTTTAATCTGTTTAAATACGATCTAAAGATCTAAACAGAAAGGGCTTCTCTTTGGTGCGCTGCACTGCACTGGCTCAAGCTTAGCTCAGCTGTTCTATGTGCAGAGCTTGCACGCATCCACCACAAACTATGCTACAAACATAATTTGTTTGCTTCTCAACGGCGACCGCTACAAATCAGTCCAGAAAACTTTTTACTTTTTTCTCTGCGTGGCCTTAACTGGGATGCAGGTGTGAGACTGCCATCTTATCCTCGTAGATTGCTTTTAATAAACCTTCCAACCTTAGTTAGTCGTAGAAAAATGCTTGGTGTGATTTTTATGCACAACCTGATCAAGGGTGACGTAGATAGCCCTGACTTGTTGAGCCGCATAAACTTTACGATTCCTATTAGATCTACTAGAAACTTCATTCCTTTGTTCCTTCCGCTTTGTAGATCGAATTATTCCTTGCACGAACCATTTAGGGTACTTTGCTCGGACTTCAATTCACTCTACCACATAATATCAACTACTAATTCCCTTCCTCTTCTTAAATCACTAATACTAACATACCTTTCCCGTAATTAGTTATATTTCTTAGCTATCTTTGCATGTTTAGCTCTTTGAGTTGTGTTTAGCTCTAATTTTCCTCGAATTTTAGTCTAACACCTATCTTTCCTGCATGCTCGCGATCGGTTCGGTAACACGCGTCACGCGTCATGCGGCAGCGCCCCTCGGTCGGTTGGGCGGGAGGAGGGCTGCGTTTCTGCCTGGGTTTGGCGCGTAATAGGCTTCGGCTTGGTGTCGCATGGGCCACTTGATGGTGCAGTCATTGCATATCAACGTCCAGACAAGAGGCAGCTTTGGATACCATACTAGGCCTGGAACCGATAGACCTCCATCTTAAGTGCAAGGCTGAGATAAGTGCAGCTAGGCTACTAGCCGCGCAGTTCTTCAAGCCATCGCCTTATGGTCACGCCACTATACTCCGCGATGAGGAAGGTGGAACGGCCGGGGGGAGTGAGTACTGTGTTTCAGAGCCCTCGTGGAAAAGAAACTTCAAAGGACACATACCGGACAGGGAGAAATTTAAGAGTAACACGGCCTTGGGGCAGAACGAGCTCTCCATTTTCACCGACGTGTCAAAGACGGCCGAAGGGACAGGAGCTAGAATCTTCTCTGAGGAACTAGCAACCAACACATCCCTAAGGCTACCAGACTGGTGCAGTGTATTCCAGGCGGAGATATATGCAGTATGACAAGCGGCTAAGTTGGAGATACCTCCGAGGAACATAGCAATCTGCGTCGACAGTCAGGCTGCCATGAAAGCCTTGGTATCCTGCAAGACCACAAGCAGACTCATACGTGATACGGTTAACGCGCTAAACGAGATCAGCGCGCACTCAATTACACTCACGTGGGTTTCGGGTCATACCGACATAGCGGACAACGATAGTGCGGACGAATTAGCCAGAGCTGGATCGGTGGAACACCATTCCCAACTGTGAGATCTGTCGCTCGCTTTGGCCCCACTATGACCCTAAACGCACCAAGACTCTCCTAAGCTTCAGGAAGATTCGGGTGCGAACACTGATAGGAGTTATAACGGGAACTGTGTCATCGGCCACACAAGGTTTAGACTGCCCCACCATGACTTCTGTCGCAGCTGCAGGGACGACTTGCCTCCGAGTGACTTCGACTTCGGTTGAGCAGCCCTTTAAGCCTAACCTAACCTAACCTTCTCGCTCTCGTAACTTTCTGTGCAGAAACGCTGTCACTTATAAGCTGTTGCTGCAACGACTCTCCTGTATCATCTCAGTTTTTCCGATTTCGCTTTAAGCATTGCTCTAAGCATTTGCTCTGCACATTGGTCTGATTGATATTTGTTTTAAACTTTTTTTTTCTCGAAATAAAAAAAAAATTAAAAGACATCATTATGGATTTTGCTGTCGTCTTTACCAAATAAACCAGCAAGAAGCAGATCACCCATGACCAGCCTAATATCCCTTGCTGGCTTTGCGAAAGCGTAGTGCACGCAAAATGTGTAGGGATCTCGGGCCGTGTAGCAAATGCCAAGTCCCAAAACAACAGTCTGCATTATAGTTGTGAAGAATGCCGTGCTGTGGAAAACGACATTCGTTCTTTCATGAGGCAGACGCAGAGGGGCTTCAAAGAGCTGATCGTGGGCTTTAAGCAGCAATATGATCGGCTCTTGGCCATGGACACTCAGTTCAGCAGTTTACAGCTGCTGGCTGAGTCTCCGAGCCGCATGAAGTATACTCCGCGGGACTTGCAAATACCGACTGCCTCACGTCCGCCGGCATCCGAAAACTTACTCCGGCCACTCTCTTAGTGCAGCGGGTGAGTACGTTTGCTACTCCAAGGGCAACGATCGTTGCTGGTGATGCAGATTCTGGAGCCGAATACGTCACTTCGGAGAGTATGCAGTTAGAAATGTCTGTAGCGTCCGTGTCCGTCGAGTCCGCACCCAACTCCTTAACTATCTCATCAGTTTAACTCCCACCAGCTAATAGACTTCCAGGACCACCGGATATTACCATCACAGGTACTAGTGCCAAAACCACTGGTGGGATTCCCACCAAAAGTACAAGTTTTTGTCTCGCGGCTAGGCCCTGACCTAACATCCAATGATGTAGCCGCTTTTATACAAAGCAAAATAAAAGCCGTCGGCTTAAATGGAAAAATTTAACTTTTTTTACGCCAGGGACATATCTTTATTCAAGATAAGCGTCTCCCCGGCTCAATTTGAAACCATTTATTCCGGCAAGTTTTGGCCGGAGCATTTGGTGGTTAAACAGTTTAAGGCTAAGAAAAAAAATGCCCCATTACACACATACATTTTTACCACAAATCTAATATACCCCTTAACTATTTTTGAGTACGGTTATAAAAAAGCCTTAACGGATAAACTTTTCTATACTTTTTGTTTGCTTCGTCTTATTAGCTGTTCTGTTCACTACAGAGTAGAAATTGCGCAGCTAGCGATGAAGATGTATTTACGAGTAGTAACGAAACAAAAAGCGCCTAAAGCGACGCAAGATATTTTGGAGAATGTAAATCAGGACACTTTGAGATGGAGAATAAATATTTCAAATGAAACAGAAGCAATAAATTCATGACAAAGATCCATAAGCTTCTCAGTGACCAAAGAAACAATGTCAAAATGTGCATGCAAATCTGTGCCGAGGCCAATTTGTAAGCATTGCAAAACAGTAAAGTAGAGCAGTAAAGGTCACTGTAGTCGAATTTAAAAGTTTTATTGGCATTTTACTGTATGTTGGTGTAGTCAAAATACCTGCACTTAGACACACTACTCAACAAAATTGAACTTTTTCTTTTGGCTGTCGCCCAAAATGACTTTTTCTAATAGATTTCGGAATTCAACAATTTTTTTAGTACTTTATTTTTTTTTTTGTATTTTTTCTTAAAGAATTTTTAAAATCTGGTATTTTTTTCATGGTTTTTTCAGAGGTAGTGCTTCTATTTTTCCCAAAACTTTAGTATCTTATATCTGGTTGCATAGAACTTTGCAGTTCTGAAAAGCAGCTATAAATAGGACCCAGACATTTTTTATCTGCAGCTTAACGCCTGGAAGATATTAAGATAAGATACGCCTTTCAAATTCAAATTTCATAATTTATTGCAGTATTTATTTTTATTTTTATTTTTTTTTTGGAAATTTTGGCTTTAAAAACTCGGGAAAAGTCGAAAGAAAAATAATTCTTGGTATGCATTTTAACCCTCTAACACGTAAGGGTGTCTTGAGACACCAATCATATTATTGACATTATCTTAAAAACTAAGAGCTTTTACGTCATTTGAATATTGTTTTTCTGTTAACAACAAACACGAAATTACGTGCAGAAGCTTTGAAAGCTCTCAAAAGCTTTATGCTATGATTTTTTTGTTCATGTGCACAGAACATGTGTTATTTCGCGCGTAAATTTTGAGCTGTTGCTTTTTATGTTTTCTTGTGGTGTAAAAGTGTATATATAAAACGAATCGAGCTCATTTTTTTTTTTCGTGAAAGGTATGTTTATTAGCTTTTAAAATCAAGTTACAGGCACTCAAATATAAGAAAGATGTGTGTTGTAGCTGAGAAATAGTGATAAGTGTCTGGAGGCTCTTTTGGGGATCCAAGCTATCTTTTTTTTTCAGCAGCTGTTTCACAGCTACGTTCAATTTTTGTGTTGGTTTTTGTTTTTTGTATGATTTTTCTTAATATAAAGGTTAAATATTAGAAAATATGGCAAAACGGATTCGTTACAAGCTGTCCGACTTGACTGATGAACAGTTGCTGGACTTGTTTGAGTCAGTCCCGTCGGATGAGGAAGTGTCAGACATATCAAGTGACGACGGGGACGACGACTTGAATTTGGAAGAAGCTCTGACCAATGCACTAGAGGACGCTGAGACTGTATCATTTATAGACTGTAATGTTGAAAATGTGCAAAATGTGGTAAAGGAACCTGGGCCATCACGGAAAACCGCCAAAAGGCCTCGATCGCCATTACCAATTATGGACGAAACATATTGCAAACATATCTTCGCCATCTTCTGGTGGCTTCAATGGTTTTGGTAAGCAAATATATTTGCGATATGTTATACGAGTAACTAATTTATTTATGTATACATACATGTAAAGTGGTAGTATTGGCGTGAGTCGATAGTCCTCACTCTGATCGCCCACCACCAAGGATTGGTCCATCTCAAAGTCGTCGTCGTTGGTATGTCAGTAGTTGAGTTGGTCGGCAGATGTCAGAAAGTAAAGTTGAATAAGTTGTTTCTAAAGTCGTCAAAATCAGCAGTTCTGTTAATTACATATAATCAAAACCTTTAAACATTATACATTCATATATCCTACTTGTGTACTCAATAATAATACTCAATAAAACACTGATAATATAAAATTATCTTACATGGGGGCTCAACCTACGAAAGTATACATGTGATTACGCACACAACGATAATGATGATGCGTTCAGCTAAAAAGAACAAAAAGCAAAGCGGACCAAATGAGAAGCAACAAAGAGGACAGCAGAATAAAGAAAGAATAGAGGCTGATGAAGGAAGAGTAAAAACGGACGAAGAGAAGACACCAGAGGCGAAAACAGGAGAAGCTGTCAAAATGGACATAAACAAAACTTTTTTTGTCCCATTTGACGAAATAGAAGAACCAGAAGAAAAAACAGAGAGCGAACAACATGTTGGGCTTCGTGGCGCACCAACAGAAGTCACGATCCACCACGACGCAAAATACTCAAATATCAGCGCGGAGATGAGCAACAACAACGAATAGAGTGAGGTGCTCAAACTGCTGGCAACAAAAATTACACAAAACGATTCCAGTAAAAATAATATCCCAATCGAGAGCTTTTCTAAGGTTGTTCCTGAGTTTGATGGAGTGTCAATTCCAATTAAGCAGTGGATAAAATGTTTTGATGAAAATGCCGACGCCTACGAATTGACTGACAAGCAGAAATATGTGAACGCTCGTATAAAAATTAAGGGAACAGCAAAGTTATTCCTGGAGACCACCACTGTGTCGGATTATCATACGTTGATTGGATTGCTGTTGGATGAATTTGACAAGACCCTGACCAGCGCTGAGGTACATAAGCAGCTAAGCGAACGAAAGAAACACGAAAACGAGAATTTTCACGAATACGTCTTAAATATGCGAAAGATAGCTGCTCTTGGATGTGTAGATGATGAGTCGGTGATCCGTTATATAGCCGAGGGAGTAAAGCTGCGTGACGATCTAAAATATCCCTTATACAGTGCTTCAACATTCAAGGAACTACGAAGCCGATTCGAAACAATCGAAATTATGACAAAATCAGCAGTGGACCGCAAACAAGCAGCGAAAAAGTATGACGTCGGTAAAGCAGGAACTCTGGGAAAACGATTTGACCAGAATCAAAGGCATTGTTTCAACTGTGGATCAACGCAACATATGAGAGCCGAATGCAAGGAAGATACTAAGTGCTTTAAATGCAACGGCAGTGGACATACATCCCGTGATTGTCTGGGCTTAAAACCAAGCGTCAATATAATCAGCGAGACAAGGGAAAAGGTGCTGTTCATCAATAATAAAACTGTGTCATGTCTAGTCGATACAGGAGCTGACGTGTCTCTTATGCGAATGAAAATATACAAGGAGAAATTTGCTGAATATCCACTGCAGAAAAGTTTTGCTAAATTGTACGGCCTAGGAAACATTGTCACATCTGTGCTGGGTGCGTTAGATGTGCAAGTGCTGGTTGATGGAATTCGTACGGAACATAAATTTCTCATCGTTCCCGATACAAAACTCAATGTTAACATAATTATTGGCTACGACTTTCTCAAAAAATTTATTGTTGTTTTGGAAAATGGAAAGTATGCTTTTACAGAAGGAGATAGCATCGTTGAGGCAGAGGCTGATCATAATGTTTTCAATGTGGTAAGTCAGGACATGGAATTAGACGTTCCTCAAAAATACCAAGCAGCAGTCAAGCAGTTAATTGATAATTACAAGCCGTCTAAAGTTGAGCGAACCTGTCCTATAAAGATGACAATTATCCCTAATAGAATATGGCATTCAGAGAGCAACCAAGTCGATATGCAGCAGCAGAGAGAGAGATAATTCGCAACCAAGTAGAGGAATGGTTGGAACAGGGCATTATACGAGAATCCTACTCTGACGTGGCGAGTAAAGTTGTTTTAACCAAAAAGAAAGATAAAACGTTGAGGCTATGCATAGACTACCGTGTCTTAAATACGATGGTACTGAAAGATCGATTTCCGGTCCCGCTTATAGACGAAGTTCTCGATAAGATGCAAAGCGCGAAATATTTTTCTCGTCTTCGACTTGAGGAATGGATTTTTTCATGTCGAAATCGATGAGCCCAGCCGCAAATATACAGCTTTCGTGACAAAAGAGGGACTGTTCGAATTTAATAGAGCTCCATTTGGCTATTGTAATTCGCCTGCAGTATTCGTAAGGTTTGTCACATATATTTTCCAACAGCTGATAAATGAAGGTATTATGGAAATGTATATCGACGACATAGTTGTTTTTGGGCGAACAGCCGAAGAGTGTCTAAGCAACATCCAGCGCGTATTGAAACAGGCGCAGCAGTATGGACTCGACATAAAATGGTCAAAATGTCACTTTTTGAGGGAGCGTATCACTTTCCTTGGTTACGAGATAGAAAATGGGAAGATATGGCCTGGGAAAGAAAAGGTAAAAGCTGTAAAAAAATTTCCGATGCCAATTAATATCAGAGGTATTCAGGCGTTTCTTGGACTTACTGGCTATTTTCGCAAATTCGTAAAAGACTACGCTTTTATTGCCAAGCCATTAACGGAACTGCTGAAGAAAGATGCCGTTTTTAAGATAGAAGGATCACAAAAACAAGCAGTAGAACAACTAAAAGCAGCACTAATAGAAGAGCCAGTGTTGAAGATTTGGAGTCAAAGCGCCAAAACACAGTTGCATGTGGATGCATCAAAACATGGCTTTGGTGGAACATTGCTGCAGCAGCACGATGGTAAATGGCACCCCGTTTTCTACTTGAGTAAGAAAACAACACCACAAGAGGAAAAACTTACCAGCTATGTACTTGAGGTAAAGGCAGCATACCTAGCAACAAAGAGACTCCGCCATTACCTATTAGGAATAGAGTTCGACTTGGTAACAGATTGTGCGGCTTTTAAAACGATCTCCAAAAGAGATATTCCCCGAGAAGTAACGCCGTGGCTGATGTACTTGCAGGATTTCACCTTTAAAGCAGAGCATCGTGCTGGAAGCAGAATGCAGCATGTTGACAGCCTGAGTCGTTTTCCGGTGATGATCGTGACTTCCGAAGTTAATGCACGGATCAAAAGAGCACAACAGAGTGATGAACACTTAATGGCAGTTAGCGAAATTCTAAAGCAGAGACCCTATGCAGATTATGTTCTCAGAAATAACCTTATCTTTAAGCAGGTAAAGGGCCAAGATCTGTTGGCAGTACCAAAATGTATGGAAAAGGAGATAATAACAAACTCACACAATTTTGGCCACATGGGAGCGCAGAAAACAATTCACGCAATTCAGCAGGACTTTCATATACCACACTTGGAGAAGAAAACTAAGCAGGTAATTTCCAATTGTATCGAGTGTATCACCCATAATCAGAAATTGGGGAAACAAGAGGATTATTTGCACGCTATCGACAAAGGCGACACACCCTCTCAACGTTGCATGTGGATCATTTGGGTTCATTGGACAATACATCGAAGAACTACAAGTATATATTTGCTGTCGTAGATGGTTTTTCAAAATATACTTGGCTATTTCCTACAAAGTCGACAAATGCGGAAGAAGCTATCAAACACCTGGAATCATGGGTTTCAATATTTGGCAGCCCGCAGAGAATTATCAGCGATAAGGGAGCGGCGTTCACATCGCATTCATTCAAGGAATTTTGCGCAACGAACAATATTGATCACGTCGAAACAACAGCTGGCGTACCAAGGGGTAACGGACAGATTGAACGGGTTAACAGGGTTATCATTTCAGTACTCTCAAAAATGTCAGCAGCGGAACCAGCAAAATGGTATAAATACACATCGCAGGTGCAACAGGCCATAAACTCTCACATACATGCATCAACTAGATACACGCCGTTCGAAGTCATGTTTGGTGTACGTATGAGAAACAACTCCAGTGCTGAGCTTCTGAGGATCCTTCAAGAGGAGATGCTGTCGAACCTGCAAGAAGAACGTAAGGAAATTTGGCAAGAAACCAGGCGCCAAATCGAAAAAGCCCAAGCTGCTTACAAGGAGAGTCACGACAAGAAGAGAAAGGGGCATCATGGTTATCAGCTAGGCGACCTAGTAGCCATTAAGGTGACGCAGTTTATAACTGGAAGGAAGTTATCCAACAAATATATCGGCCCGTATGAAGTCATTCGAGTGAAACGGAACGGCAGATATGATGTTAAGAAGGCAGCTGAATTTGAGGGTGTACTACAGACCTCTACAAGCGCTGACTTTATGAAGCTGTGGCGCTATGCTTACTGCGAGGAAGAAAATGAAGAGCAGAGTGAAGAGGAGGAGACATCTGGGACAGATGTTTTGCAGGATGGCCGAATGTAAAGTGGTAGTATTGGCGTGAGTCGATAGTCCTCACTCTGATCGCCCACCACCAAGGATTGGTCCATCTCAAAGTCGTCGTCGTTGGTATGTCAGTAGTTGAGTTGGTCGGCAGATGTCAGAAAGTAAAGTTGAATAAGTTGTTTCTAAAGTCGTCAAAATCAGCAGTTCTGTTAATTACATATAATCAAAACCTTTAAACATTATACATTCATATATCCTACTTGTGTACTCAATAATAATACTCAATAAAACACTGATAATATAAAATTATCTTACATACATAGGTATTGAATCAATAACAAAGGAGCCGAGTAAGATTGTGTGGCGACAGCAATGTTTGCAGTTGCATGCGAGCGACATAGTCTTTCGAGGAGATTCTTCGCTGCCAGCTGAATTAATGAAGCTTAGAACTCCATCACAGCTATTTTGCTATTTTTTCAATTCAGAAATAATGAATATGATCACGGAGGAAACCATGCGCGCAGCTTTAACGAATAATATATCAAATAAGTTCAAAATTAACAGTAATGATATCCACCGTTACATCGGTATTTTGATGTATATGTCCATTTATCGCTATCCAAATCTGAAAAGCTACTGGGCAAAACACGCGTTTGGACCTATACAAACCTGCATGACCCGAACCAAATTCGAGGGAATTAAACAGTACTTCTCACTGCGAGATGAGCGCGAGCGGATCAAAAAGTTTCCCAAAACTTTAGTATCTTATATCTGGTTGCATAGAACTTTGCAGTTCTGAAAAGCAGCTATAAATAGGACCCAGACATTTTTTATCTGCAGCTTAACGCCTGGAAGATATTAAGATAAGATACGCCTTTCAAATGCAAATTTCATAATTTATTGCAGTATTTATTTTTATTTTTTTTTTTTGGAAATTTTGGCTTTAAAAACTCGGGAAAAGTCGAAAGAAAAATAATTCTTGGTATGCATTTTAACCCTCTAACACGTAAGGGTGTCTTGAGACACCAATCATATTATTGACATTATCTTAAAAACTAAGAGCTTTTTCGTCATTTGAATATTGTTTTTCTGTTAACAACAAACACGAAATTACGTGCAGAAGCTTTGAAAGCTCTCAAAAGCTTTATGCTATGATTTTTTTGTTCATGTGCACAGAACATGTGTTATTTCGCGCGTAAATTTTGAGCTGTTGCTTTTTATGTTTTCTTGTGGTGTAAAAGTGTATATATAAAACGAATCGAGCTCATTTTTTTTTTTCGTGAAAGGTATGTTTATTAGCTTTTAAAATCAAGTTACAGGCACTCAAATATAAGAAAGATGTGTGTTGTAGCTGAGAAATAGTGATAAGTGTCTGGAGGCTCTTTTGGGGATCCAAGCTATCTTTTTTTTTCAGCAGCTGTTTCACAGCTACGTTCAATTTTTGTGTTGGTTTTTGTTTTTTGTATGATTTTTCTTAATATAAAGGTTAAATATTAGAAAATATGGCAAAACGGATTCGTTACAAGCTGTCCGACTTGACTGATGAACAGTTGCTGGACTTGTTTGAGTCAGTCCCGTCGGATGAGGAAGTGTCAGACATATCAAGTGACGACGGGGACGACGACTTGAATTTGGAAGAAGCTCTGACCAATGCACTAGAGGACGATGAGACTGTATCATTTATAGACAGTAATGTTGAAAATGTGCAAAATGTGGTACAGGAACCTGGGCCATCACGGAAAACCACCAAAAGGCCTCGATCGCCATTACCAATTACGGACGATTCAGCAAACATATCTTCGCCATCATCTGGTGGCTTCAATGGTTTTGGTAAGCAAACATATTTGCGATATGTTATACGAGTAACTAATTTATGTATGTATACATACATAGGTATTGAATCAATAACAAAGGAGCCGAGTAAGATTGTGTGGCGACAGCAATGTTTGCAGTTGCATGCGAACGACATAGTCTTTCGAGGAGATTCTTTGCTGCCAGCTGAATTAATGAAGCTTAGAACTCCATCACAGCTATTTTGCTATTTTTTCAACTCAGAAATAATGAATATGATCACGGAGGAAACCATGCGTGCAGCTTTAACGAATAATATATCAAATAAGTTCAAAATTAACAGTAATGATATCCACCGTTACATCGGTATTTTGATGTATATGTCCATTTATCGCTATCCAAATCTGAAAAGCTACTGGGCAAAACACGCGTTTGGACCTATACAAACCTGCATGACCCGAACCAAATTCGAGGGAATTAAACAGTACTTCTCACTGCGAGATGAGCGCGAGCGGATCAAAAAGTTTCCCAAAACTTTAGTATCTTATATCTGGTTGCATAGAACTTTGCAGTTCTGAAAAGCAGCTATAAATAGGACCCAGACATTTTTTATCTGCAGCTTAACGCCTGGAAGATATTAAGATAAGATACGCCTTTCAAATTCAAATTTCATAATTTATTGCAGTATTTATTTTTATTTTTATTTTTTTTTTGGAAATTTTGGCTTTAAAAACTCGGGAAAAGTCGAAAGAAAAATAATTCTTGGTATGCATTTTAACCCTCTAACACGTAAGGGTGTCTTGAGACACCAATCATATTATTGACATTATCTTAAAAACTAAGAGCTTTTACGTCATTTGAATATTGTTTTTCTGTTAACAACAAACACGAAATTACGTGCAGAAGCTTAGAAAGCTCTCAAAAGCTTTATGCTATGATTTTTTTTGTTCATGTGCACAGAACATGTGTTATTTCGCGCGTAAATTTTGAGCAGCTGCATTTTATGTTTTCTTGTGGTGTAAAAGTGTATATATAAAACGAATCGAGCTCATTATTTTTTTTCGTGAAAGGTATGTTTATTAGCTTTTAAAATCAAGTTACAGGCACTCAAATATAAGAAAGTTGTGTGTTGTAGCTGAGAAATAGTGATAAGTGTCTGGGGGCTCTTTTGGGGATCCAAGCTATCTTTTTTTTTCAGCAGCTGTTTCACAGCTACGTTCAATTTTTGTGTTGGTTTTTGTTTTTTGTATGATTTTTCTTAATATAAAGGTTAAATATTAGAAAATATGGCAAAACGGATTCGTTACAAGTTGTCCGACTTGACTGATGAACAGTTGCTGGACTTGTTTGAGTCAGTCCCGTCGGATGAGGAAGTGTCAGACATATCAAGTGACGACGGGGACGACGACTTGAATTTGGAAGAAGCTCTGACCAATGCACTAGAGGACGCTGAGACTGTATCATTTATAGACTGTAATGTTGAAAATGTGCAAAATGTGGTAAAGGAACCTGGGCCATCACGGAAAACCGCCAAAAGGCCTCGATCGCCATTACCAATTATGGACGAAACATATTGCAAACATATCTTCGCCATCTTCTGGTGGCTTCAATGGTTTTGGTAAGCAAACATATTTGCGATATGTTATACGAGTAACTAATTTATTTATGTATACATACATAGGTATTGAATCAATAACAAAGGAGCCGAGTAAGATTGTGTGGCGACAGCAATGTTTGCAGTTGCATGCGAACGACATATTCTTTCGAGGAGATTCTCCGCTGCCAGCTGAATTAATGAAGCTTAGAACTCCATCACAGCTATTTTGCTATTTTTTCAATTCAGAAATAATGAATATGATCACAGAGGAAACCATGCGCGCAGCTTTAACGAATAATATATCAAATAAGTTCAAAATTAACAGTAATGATATCCACCGTTACATCGGTATTTTGATGTATATGTCCATTTATCGCTATCCAAATCTGAAAAGCTACTGGGCAAAACACGCGCTTGGACCTATACAAACCTGCATGACCCGAACCAAATTCGAGGGAATTAAACAGTACTTCTCACTGCGAGATGAGCGCGAGCGGATCAAAAAGTTTCCCAAAACTTTAGTATCTTATATCTGGTTGCATAGAACTTTGCAGTTCTGAAAAGCAGCTATAAATAGGACCCAGACATTTTTTATCTGCAGCTTAACGCCTGGAAGATATTAAGATAAGATACGCCTTTCAAATGCAAATTTCATAATTTATTGCAGTATTTATTTTTATTTTTATTTTTTTTTTTGGAAATTTTGGCTTTAAAAACTCGGGAAAAGTCGAAAGAAAAATAATTCTTGGTATGCATTTTAACCCTCTAACACGTAAGGGTGTCTTGAGACACCAATCATATTATTGACATTATCTTAAAAACTAAGAGCTTTTACGTCATTTGAATATTGTTTTTCTGTTAACAACAAACACGAAATTACGTGCAGAAGCTTTGAAAGCTCTCAAAAGCTTTATGCTATGATTTTTTTGTTCATGTGCACAGAACATGTGTTATTTCGCGCGTAAATTTTGAGCAGTTGCATTTTATGTTTTCTTGTGGTGTAAAAGTGTATATATAAAACGAATCGAGCTCATTATTTTTTTTCGTGAAAGGTATGTTTATTAGCTTTTAAAATCAAGTTACAGGCACTCAAATATAAGAAAGATGTGTGTTGTAGCTGAGAAATAGTGATAAGTGTCTGGAGGCTCTTTTGGGGATCCAAGCTATCTTTTTTTTCAGCAGCTGTTTCACAGCTACGTTCAATTTTTGTGTTGGTTTTTGTTTTTTGTATGATTTTTCTTAATATAAAGGTTAAATATTAGAAAATATGGCAAAACGGATTCGTTACAAGTTGTCCGACTTGACTGATGAACAGTTGCTGGACTTGTTTGAGTCAGTCCCGTCGGATGAGGAAGTGTCAGACATATCAAGTGACGACGGGGACGACGACTTGAATTTGGAAGAAGCTCTGACCAATGCACTAGAGGACGCTGAGACTGTATCATTTATAGACTGTAATGTTGAAAATGTGCAAAATGTGGTAAAGGAACCTGGGCCATCACGGAAAACCGCCAAAAGGCCTCGATCGCCATTACCAATTATGGACGAAACATATTGCAAACATATCTTCGCCATCTTCTGGTGGCTTCAATGGTTTTGGTAAGCAAACATATTTGCGATATGTTATACGAGTAACTAATTTATTTATGTATACATACATAGGTATTGAATCAATAACAAAGGAGCCGAGTAAGATTGTGTGGCGACAGCAATGTTTGCAGTTGCATGCGAACGACATAGTCTTTCGAGGAGATTCTTCGCTGCCAGCTGAATTAATGAAGCTTAGAACTCCATCACAGCTATTTTGCTATTTTTTTAATTCAGAAATAATGAATATGATCACGGAGGAAACCATGCGCGCAGCTTTAACGAATAATATATCAAATAAGTTCAAAATTAACAGTAATGATATCCACCGTTACATCGGTATTTTGATGTATATGTCCATTTATCGCTATCCAAATCTGAAAAGCTACTGGGCAAAACACGCGCTTGGACCTATACAAACCTGCACGACCCGAACCAAATTCGAGGGAATTAAACAGTACTTCTCACTGCGAGATGAGCGCGAGCGGATCAAAAAGTTTCCCAAAACTTTAGTATCTTATATCTGGTTGCATAGAACTTTGCAGTTCTGAAAAGCAGCTATAAATAGGACCCAGACATTTTTTATCTGCAGCTTAACGCCTGGAAGATATTAAGATAAGATACGCCTTTCAAATGCAAATTTCATAATTTATTGCAGTATTTATTTTTATTTTTATTTTTTTTTTTGGAAATTTTGGCTTTAAAAACTCGGGAAAAGTCGAAAGAAAAATAATTCTTGGTATGCATTTTAACCCTCTAACACGTAAGGGTGTCTTGAGACACCAATCATATTATTGACATTATCTTAAAAACTAAGAGCTTTTACGTCATTTGAATATTGTTTTTCTGTTAACAACAAACACGAAATTACGTGCAGAAGCTTTGAAAGCTCTCAAAAGCTTTATGCTATGATTTTTTTGTTCATGTGCACAGAACATGTGTTATTTCGCGCGTAAATTTTGAGCAGTTGCATTTTATGTTTTCTTGTGGTGTAAAAGTGTATATATAAAACGAATCGAGCTCATTATTTTTTTTCGTGAAAGGTATGTTTATTAGCTTTTAAAATCAAGTTACAGGCACTCAAATATAAGAAAGATGTGTGTTGTAGCTGAGAAATAGTGATAAGTGTCTGGAGGTTGGGGCTCCAAGCTATCTTTTTTTTCAGCAGCTGTTTCACAGCTACGTTCAATTTTTGTGTTGGTTTTTGTTTTTTGTATGATTTTTCTTAATATAAAGGTTAAATATTAGAAAATATGGCAAAACGGATTCGTTACAAGTTGTCCGACTTGACTGATGAACAGTTGCTGGACTTGTTTGAGTCAGTCCCGTCGGATGAGGAAGTGTCAGACATATCAAGTGACGACGGGGACGACGACTTGAATTTGGAAGAAGCTCTGACCAATGCACTAGAGGACGCTGAGACTGTATCATTTATAGACTGTAATGTTGAAAATGTGCAAAATGTGGTAAAGGAACCTGGGCCATCACGGAAAACCGCCAAAAGGCCTCGATCGCCATTACCAATTATGGACGAAACATATTGCAAACATATCTTCGCCATCTTCTGGTGGCTTCAATGGTTTTGGTAAGCAAACATATTTGCGATATGTTATACGAGTAACTAATTTATTTATGTATACATACATAGGTATTGAATCAATAACAAAGGAGCCGAGTAAGATTGTGTGGCGACAGCAATGTTTGCAGTTGCATGCGAACGACATAGTCTTTCGAGGAGATTCTTCGCTGCCAGCTGAATTAATGAAGCTTAGAACTCCATCACAGCTATTTTGCTATTTTTTCAATTCAGAAATAATGAATATGATCACGGAGGAAACCATGCGCGCAGCTTTAACGAATAATATATCAAATAAGTTCAAAATTAACAGTAATGATATCCACCGTTACATCGGTATTTTGATGTATATGTCCATTTATCGCTATCCAAATCTGAAAAGCTACTGGGCAAAACACGCGCTTGGACCTATACAAACCTGCATGACCCGAACCAAATTCGAGGGAATTAAACAGTACTTCTCACTGCGAGATGAGCGCGAGCGGATCAAAAAGTTTCCCAAAACTTTAGTATCTTATATCTGGTTGCATAGAACTTTGCAGTTCTGAAAAGCAGCTATAAATAGGACCCAGACATTTTTTATCTGCAGCTTAACGCCTGGAAGATATTAAGATAAGATACGCCTTTCAAATGCAAATTTCATAATTTATTGCAGTATTTATTTTTATTTTTATTTTTTTTTTTGGAAATTTTGGCTTTAAAAACTCGGGAAAAGTCGAAAGAAAAATAATTCTTGGTATGCATTTTAACCCTCTAACACGTAAGGGTGTCTTGAGACACCAATCATATTATTGACATTATCTTAAAAACTAAGAGCTTTTACGTCATTTGAATATTGTTTTTCTGTTAACAACAAACACGAAATTACGTGCAGAAGCTTTGAAAGCTCTCAAAAGCTTTATGCTATGATTTTTTTGTTCATGTGCACAGAACATGTGTTATTTCGCGCGTAAATTTTGAGCTGTTGCATTTTATGTTTTCTTGTGGTGTAAAAGTGTATATATAAAACGAATCGAGCTCATTATTTTTTTTCGTGAAAGGTATGTTTATTAGCTTTTAAAATCAAGTTACAGGCACTCAAATATAAGAAAGATGTGTGTTGTAGCTGAGAAATAGTGATAAGTGTCTGGAGGCTCTTTTGGGGATCCAAGCTATCTTTTTTTTTCAGCAGCTGTTTCACAGCTACGTTCAATTTTTGTGTTGGTTTTTGTTTTTTGTATGATTTTTCTTAATATAAAGGTTAAATATTAGAAAATATGGCAAAACGGATTCGTTACAAGTTGTCCGACTTGACTGATGAACAGTTGCTGGACTTGTTTGAGTCAGTCCCGTCGGATGAGGAAGTGTCAGACATATCAAGTGACGACGGGGACGACGACTTGAATTTGGAAGAAGCTCTGACCAATGCACTAGAGGACGCTGAGACTGTATCATTTATAGACTGTAATGTTGAAAATGTGCAAAATGTGGTAAAGGAACCTGGGCCATCACGGAAAACCGCCAAAAGGCCTCGATCGCCATTACCAATTATGGACGAAACATATTGCAAACATATCTTCGCCATCTTCTGGTGGCTTCAATGGTTTTGGTAAGCAAACATATTTGCGATATGTTATACGAGTAACTAATTTATTTATGTATACATACATAGGTATTGAATCAATAACAAAGGAGCCGAGTAAGATTGTGTGGCGACAGCAATGTTTGCAGTTGCATGCGAACGACATAGTCTTTCGAGGAGATTCTTCGCTGCCAGCTGAATTAATGAAGCTTAGAACTCCATCACAGCTATTTTGCTATTTTTTCAATTCAGAAATAATGAATATGATCACGGAGGAAACCATGCGCGCAGCTTTAACGAATAATATATCAAATAAGTTCAAAATTAACAGTAATGATATCCACCGTTACATCGGTATTTTGATGTATATGTCCATTTATCGCTATCCAAATCTGAAAAGCTACTGGGCAAAACACGCGTTTGGACCTATACAAACCTGCACGACCCGAACCAAATTCGAGGGAATTAAACAGTACTTCTCACTGCGAGATGAGCGCGAGCGGATCAAAAAGTTTCCCAAAACTTTAGTATCTTATATCTGGTTGCATAGAACTTTGCAGTTCTGAAAAGCAGCTATAAATAGGACCCAGACATTTTTTATCTGCAGCTTAACGCCTGGAAGATATTAAGATAAGATACGCCTTTCAAATTCAAATTTCATAATTTATTGCAGTATTTATTTTTATTTTTATTTTTTTTTTTGGAAATTTTGGCTTTAAAAACTCGGGAAAAGTCGAAAGAAAAATAATTCTTGGTATGCATTTTAACCCTCTAACACGTAAGGGTGTCTTGAGACACCAATCATATTATTGACATTATCTTAAAAACTAAGAGCTTTTACGTCATTTGAATATTGTTTTTCTGTTAACAACAAACACGAAATTACGTGCAGAAGCTTTGAAAGCTCTCAAAAGCTTTATGCTATGATTTTTTTGTTCATGTGCACAGAACATGTGTTATTTCGCGCGTAAATTTTGAGCAGTTGCATTTGTATGTTTTCTTGTGGTGTAAAAGTGTATATATAAAACTAATGTTATGGGGTGTAGGAGTGTAGGCGGCTTTTTTAGGGGGGGGAGGGGGGGGCCCGGGGGCAGACATATCAAGTGACGACGGGGACGACGACTTGAATTTGGAAGAAGCTCTGACCAATGCACTAGAGGACGATGAGACTGTATCATTTATAGACAGTAATGTTGAAAATGTGCAAAATGTGGTACAGGAACCTGGGCCATCACGGAAAACCACCAAAAGGCCTCGATCGCCATTACCAATTACGGACGATTCAGCAAACATATCTTCGCCATCATCTGGTGGCTTCAATGGTTTTGGTAAGCAAACATATTTGCGATATGTTATACGAGTAACTAATTTATTTATGTATACATACATAGGTATTGAATCAATAACAAAGGAGCCGAGTAAGATTGTGTGGCGACAGCAATGTTTGCAGTTGCATGCGAACGACATATTCTTTCGAGGAGATTCTCCGCTGCCAGCTGAATTAATGAAGCTTAGAACTCCATCACAGCTATTTTGCTATTTTTTCAATTCAGAAATAATGAATATGATCACGGAGGAAACCATGCGTGCAGCTTTAACGAATAATATATCAAATAAGTTCAAAATTAACAGTAATGATATCCACCGTTACATCGGTATTTTGATGTATATGTCCATTATCGCTATCCAAATCTGAAAAGCTGAAACCTGCATGACCCGAACCAAATTCGAGGGAATTAAACAGTTCTTCTCACTGCGAGATGAGGGCGAGCGGATTAAAAAGGGTGAGCCAGGATACGTTCCACTGTTCCGCACGCGAAAACTTGTCGACTGTCTTAACCAAAGGTTTGATTCCGTTCCAAAGCAAGCCCGCCTTTGTGTTGACGAGCAAATGTGCAGCACCGAAATGAAGCACCACTTGAGGCAATATATGCTCAATAAGCCACACAAGTGGGGTATAAAGCTATTTGTTTTTTTGCGATTCTTTTGGCTATGCATACCGCTTTGAGATATACAGCGGCGCAGGTGATAACGTGATCTTGCCTGGTCACCCAGATCTTGGTGCTTCGGCCAACATTGTTGTACGTTTAACAAAAACCGTACAAACTTTCAAGCACCACATTATTTACTTTGATAGTCTTTGATGGTCTATCTGCGTGCGAAAGGTATTTATAGCCTTGGTACAGTGCGTGTAAATCGTATCCCTAATTGCAAGACTCCAAACGATAGTACTATCAAAAACAAACCAAGGGGTTTTTCGACCGAGTACGTAGGCTCCTCATATGGAGTCGAAATAAGTAATGTGCTGTGGAAAGACAACAAGGCAGTTCGCTTGTTGTCGACTTATTTGGGTGTTCAGCCATTTGAAAGGGCTAATTCGCATGAAGGAATAGCAAAGTTTGCTCGTTACGACAGGAAATCTAAGCGAAGTTGATTGCCCACAAATTATTCGCGAATATAACGCTCACATGGGTGGCGTAGACCTAATGGATGGACTTATGGGCCGCTATCATATCAGAGCTAAAACTCGGGATGCTGCCACTCGAATTTTTTACCACTTGATTGATATGGCAGCAACAAACGCTTATGTTTTATATAGGGGAATAGAAAAGGAAAGAGAGAACATGGGCAAATTGCTTGAATTCCTGGAATTTCGCGAATCGATTGCTGAAGGTCTGGTGACATTTCAAACCAAAAACTTTTCAGGTCATCCAATCAATCGATCTTCACAAGGACGGACAACCCAGTCTCCATCCTCTTTATCAGGGCGGACAACACAGTCACCATCCTCTCAGACAGAGTGGAAAATGCAGTCTCCACTCTCTCAGAGACCTTCGCAGCTAAACCTCAAACTAGGCGCAAAAGCGAACCATCCAATATGGGACTTGCGGTTTGACCAGCTAAACCATTTTCCGGATTGGTTGGATCGCGATAATGGAAGAAAATGGTGCAAATACTGTAAAATTTCTCAAACGCAGTGCATTTGTGTTGCACATAAAAAAAAAATTGTTTTTCAGTGTTTTTTTTACACTCGGAGCCCCAACAGTGTCTTGAGATACTTATTCAATTTTTCTCACCTTACAGTTAACGAAAGCTTTTGCACTTTTTCTGAGTACATATTTAATTTCAAGAGCCCCAATTCACTTTAGAAATAAATTATTTGAATGCGTTTCTTTCATTATTCTGGAAAATAGGCTTAGAGGGTTAAGTTTTAGATAGACGCATTAATTAGGCGTCGTTTAAGGTGCTGTTCATTAAAATCTATGGATAAACGGTGGAGCTAAAATTCGTTAACCAAATCTCAAAAGTGAACAAAATAGACAACGAGAAGGAACGTGTGAGTTTCTTCTGGGGACGCGACTCTACTTATACCCTTACTCAGTCAGTATATTCATTTTTGAGCTTATGATTTTTTAGAATTTTAGAATTTAAAAAAAAATTTTACATTTTAAATTTTTTTGCTACATCTGTTATCTACATCTACAATGTATATTATACATATAACGTGTAGATTATACATGTACCATTTAGATTCTACATCTCCTCCACTAGAGGGCGCTCGCGTACATAACGCGGCAGAGTGTGCGAGCGAGAAAGAGAATGAGCAGCGTGTCTCTGGCTGGTAGAGGCGGGGAAGCAACTGAAAATAAATTTTTTCATTCTGGCTATAATTATGATTCGATCTGATTCAGATTCGGCAATCGGGTAGATATGGTCATTCTCTATGATACTGCGCTTTTAGTTTTATCGTATTTTTAAAATTGTGTCTGTCACAGATTTTCGTCCTTTGTGAGGACGGAAGGGGGCGTTGCGAAATTTTGAAATACACTTGTAGCACTGTGATATCACATGAGTCCGGAAACCCTAGCTCTTATAGTCCTAGCTCCTAGCTGCCCTAGCTCTTATAGTCTCTGAGATCTAGGCGGTCAACAAGACGGACAGGCAGACAGACAGACAGACGGACACACAGACATGGCTATATTGACTCGGCTATTGATGCTGATCTGCGTTACACACATCCACTTTTACCACAAATCTAATATACCCCTTAACTCTTTTTTGAGTACTGGTATAAAAAATACTTTTTGGAAGGTTGCGGGCCCAACTGCCAATTTGAAACAAAGCAAACGAAAAGGGGTTGAATTTTTGGTACCTGAACGTGTTTCTTTGGCATTGGACCAGCAACGGTATTTTCCAGGTAAAATTAGTTTTGAGTCGTGTTGGTCAAACAGCTGCAAGTTGACCGTTTATCCATAGATTTTAATGAGCGTGTATCTAAAACTAAAAATGTTGGCCAAGAATTATTTCGACTTTTCCCGAGTTTTTAAAGTGAAAATATCGAAAGAAAAAAAATAAATAAATAAAAAATAACTGCAAAAAATTATGAAATTTGAATTTGAAAGCTTAATATCTTCCAGGCGTTAAGCTGCAGATAAAAAGTGTCTGTGTCCGATTTATAGCTGCATTTGTCAGCTTTTCAGAACTGCAAAGTTCTATGCAACCAGATATAAGATCTTAAGATCTTAAGTTATGTGAAAAATAAAAGCACTACCTCTGAAAAAAAATATTAAAATAATCCCAGATTTTAATAACTTAAAAAAAAACTAAACCACAAAAAAAAACCATAATTCATTAGAAATTTTTAAACCCCGAAAACTATAAGAAAAAGTCATTTTGGGCCACAACCTAATTGTCGTGTTGACTAGTGTGATCAAAAAAGTTGTAGGAAATGCATTTTAAGTTTCGCAGTAAATAAAAAATCTAAGAATTTTAATGGATGCACTGTTAATTAAACAGCATGCCTTGGATATATCCAATTTTACTTCCTGAATAACGTATACTTAACGTAACGTATACTTAATAAAACATAACACTCAGGTACAATGTTGCCTTTAGGCATCATTTCACTAAGGACAAACCAGGATATTTAGGACTTTGAAATTCATTTTGGTTATTATTTGTGGTCATATTAATAATAATAATTCGGCCCTGAAAGGGTTAACTCGATATTTCTTCAGGTACATATGTAAAAATAAATAAACGAACCTGTAGAGTAAAATCCAGATCCAACGCTGATGTGATGGATTATCACGAGAGAAAATTTTGCAATGGCTATTTAAATTAATTGTAGATTTTCTGTGTTTCTGATGCTCATAACGATCAATCGATCTTAGCAACAATATTGAAATTTCCCGAATCTGTAAGAAAAACA